ACATGCAATACACATGTTCAGCTTTCACGGACATACCCAATGTCTGCATACGATGAGGTTTCGTCAGAATCCAAGGGTGCTACCTACTGACAAGATTTGGTTTCAACAAAAGCATCACCTAGAAGGTCAGAAAGTAAAAAATATACTTAAAGAAAAAAATACCTATATATAGTAAGACTAAATCAGATGACTAAATTTGACTGTGGATGTCGTATTATGACAGATGTTATAACCCTGAACGGAAGAAACCAACCTAATTGGAACTACTTGCTCAAAACCTTTGTGAAAGTGTGTGGCAAGTGCTACAGGAAGCAAATAAAATTCCAATATATGGAAAACAAACTTCTGGAAATGGAAAAGCAACGAATGGAAATGTTTATGGAAAATGAGGATGAAGAACACGACACATACTTTGACCTGACAGAGTTGAAGGAACATCTCAAAACCTTCCCACCCAATGAAAGACACAAAGTGAAGGATTTTGAGAGGTTAAGAAACCTCGCCAATGGACAAGACCCCAATGAAGGAATGAGTGAAATTGATAGAGGAGGAAAGGGAAAACAAAAACCAACCCGAACCCGAAAACTGAACGAGCCCCCAAAAATTACTTAAAGAAAAAATGACTATATATAGTAAGAGGATGTTATTTACTTATAAAAACTGCGGATGTTGTAAGAAAGAAATGACTGACATTAAGGCTTTATTGAACAACATTTTTCCGGCTGGAATTTGTGATGAGATATGTAGTTATAATTTTCACTGTTCCAAATGTAAAGGTTTGAGAGAAAAGGAGTATAACAGTATAGATACATAACATACAATCAAGACTACTTTGAAGATAAAGAAATCAATTCAGTAGCAGAAAAACAAATATATGTCTTTAAAACAAGGGTGGAAGCATCGCCAATAGATTTGTCTGATAATGTGAATGACCGACAAATGAGCAGAGAAATAGACATATTGATGAAAAGTCCTACACTGAAGAAAGGCATATTTCTTCAAGCGACTAAATCTTATGTAAAGAAAAACTTGGGACATACATATCAAATGTTTGAAGACCTTCACAATATAAAAGCAATAAAGAATTATTGGATGTTTCCTAGCTTGAACCGTTATTATGAATTTAGAAATATAGATTTCAGATTAAAAGACCTATTCAAGTTTTTCTTGCGTGAATATACTAAAGAATTATTCAAACACTATGAGCATTACATTAATCAAGATGAAATAAAAGAACACCTACAAAAAGTGATAGATACTCAAAGAAAAAATACCTATATATAGTAAGTGAAAAATGCCAATGATTGGAGTTAGTGAAGAGGAACTAAAAAGAGATAGAGAAAGATTAATGAATTTCATAAAAGAAAATCCTTATGCTGATTATAACTTTATAGCATATGACCTACTACTTAAGCAAAAACAATCTTTAGAGCAATACGCAGAGTATGGAGAGATAAACCACGACCTTATGAAAGAAATTTATGAAAACATATTTGATAAAGATTTAATCAAAAAACACGGTGAGAGGATACACCATAGAGGAGGAATGACAGCATTACAACAAAACTATTATACACTATTGTCAGCGTTGGGATACTTGATTGACCAACGAGGACTTGATAGAGACACAATCATTTTGGTGTTCTACAACATCAAAACGATTGTTTCTCAATGTTGGGATGGAATAGGTAGTGGTGATGAAAAGTGGAGACACTAAACCTAACGATTAGTTCATAATATCTTAATAAAATATATTATGATGTAATCCATCCTAAAAACCCCTTAAAGACATAACCCCTTAAAATTGTAGAGGTATAATGACTGACAAAAAGCAGTGTTCTAAATGTAAAGTCTTTCAACCGTTAGACTACTACAAAAATGAATGTAAGCAGTGTAATAAATGTTTAGAAAACAAACGCAGATACAGGGAACAGCACAAAGAAACTTTAAAACAATATGCTCAACAATACTACGAAAGGAAAAAGGAAGAATTAAGTGATAAAAAGAAAGAAACGTTGGAATGTCCAATTTGTAAATGTGAAGTAGGAAAATATACAATGAAACGACACGAAGAAAGCATCAAGCATCAAATGAACATTAATGGACACTATCTCATACAGTAAAACCACAACAACCTCAACATACCCTACCCTCATCCAAACCAAACATTAATCAAACAACTCCGACGAAACATTTAGCAAGATTAACAGAAAGAAACAGTCACACATTTAGATTTACAACATTGAACAAAAACATAACAGCCTCCCACCTAACCTCCAACCTGTCTTGTCCCAGTTCCCCTGTTTTACCATTTTCTGTGGGAGAACCTCAAAAAAAGGTTGTGATTTCAAGGGGGCAAACATTGGATCCAAAAAGGGGCATTGCCATCCGATCCGCAAAATCGGCAATCTTCGGTGAGAATGGTGATGGGTCAGTACCTATGGTCCCATTTGTGGGGGATTATATAACATCCATCAACGCCGGCAATTTTAGGTGTGAAGACCAGGTTATACCAACATGTTGACCTTAAACTATTCGCTGTGTCAAAGTTTTTAAGTTTTAAGGTACCATCCAGTAATCAAGCCAGTGGCTGACTGGAAAATACCCAATTTAGTTGGACGATTTCCCATTTTAGTTGGTCTATTTAGAGGATGGGACCATGTAACTGATCATCGGAGGATTCATCCGAAGTTGATCATGACGGGATGACCCCATTGCCATCCCTTTCTGAAACCAAAACATCATAAAACATTATAAAACATTATAAAACCCATGACTACGCTAGTATTATCATGTATTATCTAATTTTCATATAATTCCAGATAAAAGCCATATGGATCCATATTAGGCCATATCATATCAAACCACACACAACCATATATGAAACCACCCAACACCATCCCACGGTTCAAAACGTCACCCGGCCGCTCCGTTTCAGGCTAGAGTACAGGCGTTGGAAGCCGAGTTGCGAACCAGGCAGTGTGGTATCGTCCCCTAGGGGCCGCAAGTTTCAGGTGAGTGAAATATTATAATTAATTTACCTAGAAAATACGGTCTGGGATAGTGATGATAAAATGGATTTAGATGGATTTAGGGTCATATTTTTTTCGAATTGAAGGGGAGAAGGATAGAGCAACATTGAAAATTCATGGAAAGATGATGGCTACTGATGGCTAATAGTGACGGAACATGATGGCTTAAACATATTCCTGGACGACGGCTGGTGGAAAATGATGGGAATCCCCAGATGGAAAATGACACGATCGATAGTACCAATAGATAGTTGTTGCATGTTGTTGCCCCATTTTGCCCAGAGCATGGTCATGCTGTAGAATATCGTAAAATCCGGACATGTGCGTATTTAGGGTGATGGATGGCGGTGGTTTGAAACACCTTTCCTTCATACAGTACTGACAGAGCAGGACCTGACCCCTTTGGACTTGGCCCTCAAACGTACTGTACAAGTTCCATTCAGGACCGCACCACATCTCTGAATCGGTTGCATGTTCACATCTTTGGTACGCCCTCAAAATGACCATTTTTTTCTTGGATCATCCCACTATAACTGGCTACTAACCCTGGTTAGCAAGTCCCCTCCCAGAAAGTGAATGGATGATCCCATTGATCTCTTGGAAGGCCCAGCAGGACTTTGAAGCCAGGCCTGCCCTTGTTTTTTCTTGGTTGAAAAAACATTGTCGGTTTTACTATTTTACCCACAGCAAAAACGTTTACCAACCAAACATGAGGATATAGTTTCACACCAAAAAATACCTATCCAAAAAACGGGGGATGACGACCGCGATTCTTTGATGGGTTGAAGTCACAGCTGGGATGTAAACAATTCAAAATTGGGGGCGAGGGAGGGAGAAAGAACATGATTAGTATAGGATTGGGATATGTGAAAATCTCTATTATCATCGAGTTCAAAACTCGTTATCAAAATGTCTTATCCATCTTATCCTCCAATTCAACCAGTCCCTTGAGAAAATCACCCATCAATGAATATCATTAGAGCACTTTGCATTGCCAGGCTGGACTAGCCATCTCTGAGACAGGGAAAAAAAGAAACCTTTGTTGGGCTCTGACATGGCTCTGTTCGTGTGAGAACCCCACAAAGAACGAACTTGGCCAAGCTTTTTGGTGACAACACAGTGTGTTTTCAACCCATGGGCCCATTGGCTGGGGAAACTCCTGCCAGATGTGCATCAAGTGGACTGCGAGGTGCGTCCCCTTGCTGCAGATGGACCGATTCCAAGTTTCACAGCCGGTTTTTGTTACTATCAATGGGTGGTCTCCAAGAAAACTACCATTTTGTGTGCTATTCACGGATCAATCTCAGTTTATTTGAAGCCATTCAGTTTCGTCAACTGCTGGCTAGTTCTAGAGTGTTTACAAAGAATGATTCACTTCAAAACTCACCGTTGATTTTACTGGGGGAAACGCATCATCGGTTGCGGGTTGGAAACTGGTGGAATTTTGTGGGGACAGGGGCTCACATCTCAACCATTCCAGTTTTTTGCTCAGGGGACCTAAACTGTCCAGCAAACCCATTCAGGTGACACGGGCTGGTTGACGATGGATGATTGCGTTTTTTGTTGTCAACGCTTTTGTGGTGTGAACCCGTTTCGATTTGATGCAAATGGATTATTCAGAATCATTATGAATTATTCAATGTTTTGGGAAGGGTTGAACACACCAAGCAGCGTTAGTTTGAAATGCGGTACTCCATGGTCTTCACAAATATCCCAGGGTTTATCAGTATTTTCCAAATTACAACATAATTAAGAAATACATATTAAGACTACGTACTATTGGGGTTGTCACTGTTGTCACCCATTCTAGGTCAACCTTGGATGGGTAGTTTAATCCTTTAACCTGTTGCTATAAATAGGAGCTACTAACCAGCTAAAGAAGATACTTTTTGCATCTTCCTGCAGGGTATCCAAGATTGGCAATGCATGATTGATCCCATTTTGATTTGGACGATTTGGATTTGGTTCAGGCCACACATCGCCCGAATTTTAAGTGGCACAGGTCCACCGAAAAAGCCGATCCCTGCACGCAACAAACGCGCGCCATGCCCGCCGCCGGACCCGTTCTTCCTGTTGCTGCGCCGCGATTTCCGACGGTGCTAGGAGATCAAACTCCCAAGCACAAGGGATATGTTGGAGTGAACGAAGTGTTCCAGCAGCAAAGAGTGTGGTGAATGGATGATTTTTTCATAAATTTTATATTTTGACTCAAGTTATGGCATCGAAATAATGGGGACAATGATGTTGGACTGGTGGATTTAGGGGCCGGGCTGGCGGACACGACTGTGGCAGGATTGATTTTTTCTGCTGTGTTTTGGGTCTTGACGTGATGTGGGGAACATCATTCCCAAGTGCTTCATTCCAAAAATGTTTTTTTCAGGTGAAATGGGTATCCAGGAACTTCTCCCGAGAAACGATAGGGGAATGATGGTCTGGAAAGATTTTTTGGCAAACACACCCACCTCGATCAGGATCAAACGGCCACGGGGCAAGGCAACAAGATCATCCCGACCCTAGGCGTGGGGTTTTTTCACGGCAAACGGAGAGTGACTAGCCCGGACCTCTTTTGGGAAACTGCGATGTCCAATATGAGGACCTTGGCATGTGGAAACATGTGGAAACATGTCGGAAAACTGTTGGGTGCCCAGCATCCTCATTTACTCTCTTACTTTTGTTCTTCGATTGTTCAGAACCAAGTGCCAATCTTCATGAAACGTGTTTGAACTAATGAGTGAAGATAAGGTTGCGTCCTGATTAGTGTAAGGCCCCCCCCTCAACAATAGTTATACCCTCTTCAAACTTGGGCGCCAAAAAAAATATCCTCCCAAAAAAAAAAACGCACTTAAGTAAGGACTTCAATTGGCTACAAATGAAATCTAATTAAAACTGTTTTTTGCCGATGAACTTGTAGCACTTGTAGCACTTGTAGCACTTGTAGTACTTGTAGTACTTGTAGTACTTGTGGTACTTGTAGTACTTGTAGTACTTGTAGTACTTGCAGTACTTGTAGTGAGTGGGGTTCAGCATGTTGATCGCGTTACCTTTTCCACCTCAAGTGTTTTTCTTAATGAACCATGCAATAAGAGGAAGAGAAAGAAAAGAGAGAGGGAACGAGAGAAAGAGAAAGAAAAGAGAAAGGGAACGAGAGAGAGAAAGAGAGAGAGAGAGGAAGAGGAAGAGAAAGAGGAAGGGGAAGAGGAAGAGAAAGAGCAAGGATAAGAGAAAGAGAAAGGGAAAGAGAAAGAGAAAAACAGGTTGCTTTGTAAAAGGTGTTTCTTCTCTTGGCTCCAGGATCAGCTCTGGAAAAGTTTGCTGCAATTGTGAACCCTGAGAACAAACCTACCAATTCTCTCATGGCCCAGTGCCTTGGAAATGTGTGGAAAAACTGTTCTTTGATAAGGGTTTAATAAGCGGTCTGATTCTTTTGGAACAGGGAGAAAAGCAAAAAACAATCAGAAAAACTGTTCAGAGTTTTTTACAAAAACATTTTTTTGGACAAAAAAATTGCCCCCCCCCAAGATTTCTTGCCACAATAGTGAACCGTCCAAACAATGCAGGGGTTCAGAATAATTGGCACAATAGCGAACCTATCCACTAATCAGCATCCCAGAGCCACCAGACCCGTTCTTCCTGTTGCTGCGCCGCGATTTCCGACGTTGCTAGGAGATCAAACTCCCAAGCACAAGGGATATGTTGGAGTGAACGAAGTGTTCCAGCAGCAAAGAGTGTGGTGAATGGATGATTTTTTCATAAATTTTATATTTTGACTCAAGTTATGGCATCGAAATAATGGGGACAATGATGTTGGACTGGTGGATTTAGGGGCCGGGCTGGCGGACACGACTGTGGCAGGATTGAATTTTTCTGCTGTGTTTTAGGTCTTGACGTGATGTGGGGAACATCATTCCCAAGTGCTTCATTCCAAAAATGTTTTTTTCAGGTGAAATGGGTATCCAGGAACTTCTCCCGAGAAACGATAGGGGAATGATGGTCTGGAAAGATTTTTTGGCAAACACACCCACCTCGATCAGGATCAAACGGCCACGGGGCAAGGCAACAAGATCATCCCGACCCTAGGCGTGGGGTTTTTTCACGGCAAACGGAGAGTGACTAGCCCGGACCTCTTTTGGGAAACTGCGATGTCCAATATGAGGACCTTGGCATGTGGAAACATGTGGAAACATGTCGGAAAACTGTTGGGTGCCCAGCATCCTCATTTACTCTCTTACTTTTGTTCTTCGATTGTTCAGAACCAAGTGCCAATCTTCATGAAACGTGTTTGAACTAATGAGTGAAGATAAGGTTGCGTCCTGATTAGTGTAAGGCCCCCCCCTCAACAATAGTTATACCCTCTTCAAACTTGGGCGCAAAAAAAAAAACAGGGAAAAAAAAGCACTTAAGTAAGGATTTCAATTGGCTACAATTGAAATCTGGCTACAATTGAAATCTAATTAAAACTGTTTTTTGCCGATGAACTTGTAGCACTTGTAGCACTTGTAGTACTTGTAGTACTTGTAGTACTTGCAGTACTTGTGGTACTTGTAGTACTTGTAGTACTTGTAGTACTTGCAGTACTTGTAGTGAGTGGGGTTCAGCATGTTGATCGCGTTACCTTTTCCACCTCAAGTGTTTTTCTTAATGAACCATGCAATAAGAGGAAGAGAAAGAAAAGAGAGAGGGAACGAGAGAAAGAGAAAGAAAAGAGAAAGGGAACGAGAGAGAGAAAGAGAGAGAGAGAGGAAGAAGAAGAGGAAGAGAAAGAGAAAAACAGGTTGCTTTGTAAAAGGTGTTTCTTCTCTTGGCTCCAGGATCAGCTCTGGAAAAGTTTGCTGCAATTGTGAACCCTGAGAACAAACCTACCAATTCTCTCATGGCCCAGTGCCTTGGAAATGTGTGGAAAAACTGTTCTTTGATAAGGGTTTAATAAGCGGTCTGATTCTTTTGGAACAGGGAGAAAAGCAAAAAACAATCAGAAAAACTGTTCAGAGTTTTTTACAAAAACATTTTTCCCCACCTGCCAGGTGAGGGTTGTTAGATTTTATCAGAGCTGTTCTCCTCCTCCTCCTCCTCCTCCGCCTCCGCATCCGCCTCCTCCACCTCCTCCGCCTCCTCCTCCTCCTCGCAGTCCAGATCCCAGTGGGCACTGCCGGACCTCCACCGCGAGCTCCAGATCCCAGTGGGCACTGCCGGACCTCAACCGCGACTTCCAGATCGCAGTGGGCACTGCCGGACCTCAACCGCGACTTCCAGATCGCAGTGGGCACTGCCGGACCTCAACCGCGACTTCCAGATCGCAGTGGGCACTGCCGGACCTCAACCGCGAGCTCTAGATCCCAGTGGGCACTGCCGGACCTCAACGGCCAGATAGAATGCCAGAAGATATGCCAGATAGAATGCCACAAGATATGTCAGATAGAATGCCAGAAGACATGCCAGATAGAATGCCAGAAGATTTGCCAGATAGAATGCCAGAAGATATGCCAGATAGAATGCCAGATAGAATGCCAGAAGATATGTCAGATAGAATGCCAGAAGATTTGCCAGATAGAGTGCCAGAAGATATGCCAGAAGATATGCCAGAACATATGCCAGAAGATATGCCAGATAGAATGCCAGAAGATTTGCCAGATAGAATGCCAGAAGATATGCCAGAACATATGCCAGAAGATATTCCAGATAGAATGCCAGATAGAATGCCAGAAGATATGTCAGATAGAATACCAGAAGATTTGCCAGATAGAATGCCGGAAGATATGCCAGAACATATGCCAGAAGATATGCCAGATAGAATGCCAGATAGAATGCCAGAAGATATGTCAGATAGAATGCCAGAAGATTTGCCAGTAAGAAAATGTATAAATCCCTTGGTGGGGATCATTCGAAGTGAAGTAATTTTGGACAAAAAAATTGCCCCCCCCCAAGATTTCTTGCCACAATAGTGAACCGTCCAAACAATGCAGGGGTTCAGAATAATTGGCACAATAGCGAACCTATCCACTAATCAGCATCCCAGAGCCACCGGACCCGTTCTTCCTGTTGCTGCGCCGCGATTTCCGACGTTGCTAGGAGATCAAACTCCCAAGCACAAGGGATATGTTGGAGTGAACGAAGTGTTCCAGCAGCAAAGAGTGTGGTGAATGGATGATTTTTTCATAAATTTTATATTTTGACTCAAGTTATGGCATCGAAATAATGGGGACAATGATGTTGGACTGGTGGATTTAGGGGCCGGGCTGGCGGACACGACTGTGGCAGGATTGAATTTTTCTGCTGTGTTTTAGGTCTTGACGTGATGTGGGGAACATCATTCCCAAGTGCTTCATTCCAAAAATGTTTTTTTTCAGGTGAAATGGGTATCCAGGAACTTCTCCCGAGAAACGATAGGGGAATGATGGTCTGGAAAGTTTTTTTTGCAAACACACCCACCTCGATCAGGATCAGGCGGCCACGGGGCAAGGCAACAAGACCATCCCGACCCTAGGCGTGGGTTTTTTCACGGCAAACGGCGGAGAGTGACTAGCCCGGACCTCTTTTGGGAAACTGCGATGTCCAATATGAGGACCTTGGCATGTGGAAACATGTGGAAACATGTGGAAACATGTGGAAACATGTGGAAAACCGTTGGGTGCCCAGCATCCTCATTTACTCTCTTACTTTTGTTCTTCAATTGTGCAGAACCAAGTGCCAATCTTCATGAAACGTGTTTACTCCAAACATGTTTGAACTAATGATTGAAGATACTGTATACACATTTTATATCATTTTATCACATTCCCCTGGACACTGACTCTGCACAGTCAAATCACAGTAGAATCCCAAGGAGGAGTCACCAGGTTCCACACAATAAGTTCTCGATGATTTTTGGCCACCGGTCACTGGCTGACCGATCCATACGAAAATGTTGGGGTGGATTTCCTGCAAAATCATGTTTGGAAGTTATATGAAGTTAGAAGGTATATATTCAGTTTTTGCCAGAATAGTGATCTGAGTTATTATATATCTATATTATTATATATATATACAGTCATACATCATCATACATTACTATACAGACTATACACTTGGTAGTTCAGATTCTAAGTCACAAATGTTCCAGACTTCAGCTTTGCAGCGCTGGCTTCAGAGGCCTTGGCAAAGTCAGAGAGGTATTCTACGCGCAAGACATCAGTCGAGAAGATGCCTTAGCCTTGCAGTCTGTGCCTTGAAACAATTTGATGGACCTAGCAGCAGAAATGATACAGGTAGATCACCAATCTTGCGGAAAGCAGCAAAGGGAAAGGGACCCAAATATACTTCAGCCAGGTTTTGGATTTGTAGATTTGCATGCATTTAATTGTATTTACAGTAAATAATTGTATTTCCTTTGCGGTAAACTAACATGGATGTGGAAAAAACCTATGGGGAAACCCCAGGGAAATGATCTACTTAGATTCTGATTATGGTAAATCTGCATAGATCTGCATAAAGTGTATGATATGTATATATATATATTATATATATGTACATGTGCAAGGTATGGATTGGTATGGTGCATTTATCTATGTATTTGGAAGGTGTTAGGGTAAATGCTGAGGTGCATGTTCCATAGATGGAGCAACCTGATGAATGGTTCGATACTCCTCGGCCAGACTTGGGAAATTTATGCATTAAACATTTTTGGATTTTTTTGTTGAACCACACACACGAGAGTGGGTGGAAGACACTTTTCATCATGATCCCAATGTTGTTTTAATGGCTTTCATTCTCCAGGATTTTCCGACCATGGCACTTTTTGGCAAAAGAAGTACGGTAGAGGGTTAAATCCAGATTTGAACCGTTGAATCCCAAATTTCTCCGTTGCTCCCGGTTTTGGTTATAATTTATGATAATTACATAGTTTGTAATCTCATTAAATTTCCTATTGTATTCTGAATGACAAATTCGTCTTCAGTGTCGGTTCAATCCCCGTTTTATCCATGATGGCTCCTTATTCCAGTCGAGTCAATACCCACATTCCCACTGTCTTCGATCTCTTATAGACGGTCCGCATATCTTCGATTTCAAGATCCAAGTCCGTTGAGAACCGTTCCAATTCAGTCACCTTAGAAACGTTGATGCCCTTCAGTCCGTCACCCACGAAGCAATAACTCCCTACGCTGATTCTAAAGCAACTTTTCACCTTTGGCAGGTGACTCTTACTTTTATCTGTTGAACATGTTCATATCTTTCCATCAAATTTCTAGAATGTTATAGAGCATCCCATGATATATCCTGGTTTCTTCATCCGGGCTTGAACTTCCCCTTTAACTCAGCCCACTTGGAGTATTACATCCCCCGGATTGGATTCAAAAATTGGTTGTGACTTAGCTGGGGGCCTATCCACATGCCCCATAAGGCGAAAAATAAAATCACCATTCTAGCAGTATCTAGCAGCGAAATGAATAGTATCCCCTTTTTCTTCCCATAGTTTTGCCATATTATTTTTTCATAAAGTAATTGGTTGATGCTGGTTGAATGCCCCATTAAAGCTAGGTTTGTCCAAAATGGGGTACATGATGGCATACCCCAAATCCATCCAATTCCAATAATCAAGAATGACCATACATTAATATACATTATACCCGTAAACTTGCGATTCTTTGAGGGGTTGTCCCGATGTTCGTTGCCAAAGCTATGGGTCAAAACGAGTCAAATCCCTGTACCCCTAGCTTGTCACACCGAAAGAGCCGGGAGATTTATGGATGTTCATCCCCGAAAAATGACGGAACATCATAGATACCTTGATGATCCTTGATCCATAGGCCCATCTCAATGGATGAAAATCTGAACCGGAAGCCCCCCATGTTTCATAGTAACATTGATGCTTTCCGGCCAGATTTTCCCTTCAACCAACCCGTTGATGGCGAGGGACTTCAATGTGCCAGGATTTGATGTTAGCCTTCAATGCTCCCGCGTTTCAGCGACAGCTGCACGACTTCGCGCGGCAGTTTGAGAAGGGCAGCGCGGGCTTCAGGAAGGCATTGCTGCCATTGGTCAGGAGAGAAACAACCAATGTTTTTCCAATAAAGTTTGGTGACTTACTGGTGCTTAGTAGGGAATGGATGGGAATGGGGGAAGGGATGATTATTACTAGTGGTTGTGGATAATTCCCTCATTCCCTGGGTTTAGCACCAGTAAGGTGATGCTTGGTGATGTTTAATTAGGACATTTAGATACATTTGGTATAACCCCAACATAAGCCCATACCCCCACTATCCTCCAGTTTAGCATAACCATGGAAATCATGGCCCATTTGTTGGCGAATGTTGGCTATAGAATTCGGATCTCATCGTGATGCGTAATCAGTAAATGTGATTTGGTTGTTTGTCTGAAAAATTAGGGGCAAAAAACAACTAAATCTGCTGGTGTACCATGGTGTACCATCATTTCTCCCTTTTCTAATTGCTGGTGTACGGTTATGTTTCTTTTTCTCATGGCCAATTTGTGGGTTGCTCCCCATTCTCAGACACACCCATTTCGAGCAATGTTTAGAACATGTTCATCTAGAAAAAACTGTTGGATACCATCTGATAATATCTGATACCATTTATCTATAGTACTCGTAATATATAGTAGTATCATGTAATAATATCTTGTGGCAGCTTACAACATCTTGCAACCCAGCTGTTGCCTATTCTGACCTCACAGGAGCGTTCAACTGGTGGTGATTCCAAGATATGGATTCGAAAAATCTGAAGCGGGCGTTGAGGCAATGCTCCGGAGTTTCTCCGTTGCAGAACTTAAAAACACTGATTTTTACATGTTCTTATGTGGACAATCATGCGGAATAAAGTCATGACTTGGTGTCAGTGGCCAATTAACGATCTTATATAATCTGGTATACGGTATACATGTACGGCCGCGGCTCAACATGTATATAAGGCGCCGATCCATGCTCTGGACCCACAGGCGATCCATAGCCCCGATCCATACCCATGACCCATAGATCTCCAAGGCATATGAGCCAGACCCTAAATTGACACACGCTACTTTAGTATACCTTCGCAATAGGTCCGGATCAAATCTCTCAAAAGACTTTTTTGTTTGAACCGTTAAATATTTATATATACTATATATGAACATATTAATATATATAATATAATATAATATAATATAATATAATATAGTACAATATAATATAATATATGATATAATATAATATAATATATAATATATAATATAATATATAATATAATATATAATATAATATATAAAATAATATCATATATAATATTATATTATATTATATTATATGATATAATATAATATAATAATTTACAATATAATATAATGTAATTTAATATCATATAATATAATATAATATAACATAATATAATTTAATATAATATAATATAATATATATACACATATAATAAATATATATATATATATATATACATATATATATCTACATATATATATATATACATATATATTATATACATATATATATACATATTATATTTATATAATAGATACGAGTAGTACTTGCACGAGGCGGGGCGGAAGTTGCCTTACGGATATATAAGACCTTTCTCATCTATAGAACTTGCATGCGCCGTGCGCCAGCCAAGCCCGTGCGTGCGTGCATTCTGCGAAAGTTGTGTCCTGTTTCACATGTCACATTTGAAGCTCCACTTCGCACTTCACACTTCTCACTGCACTCTTCACACTCCACACTACACACTTCACACTCCACACTTCGCACTTCACACTGCACTCTTCGCATTCCACACTTCACTTCACACTGCACTCTTAAGACTCCACACTTCACACTCCACGCTTCACACTTCTCACTTCTCACTACCACAACATTGATCAATTCGTAGTTCCTAGTTTATAAAGCTCTATAACAGATACAAATGTTGTAAAAGCTCTAACACCAGATCTGACACCAAAGCCAAGAAAAAATACTGCTGGAGCACTTTTCCCCAGCCATTCCCATACAATTCGCAACTCTCAGCTGCAAAAGACAATAGTGTTACGCACGCAGCCGTGGAAGCAAAAAAAAGAAACTCACCAACGCCAAAATTGAAAAAATCTAGTGACAAATCACTATCGCAGCCTTGATGCAGCCACTTCAATACAATGTACAACTCTCAGCTGCAAAAGACAATAGTATTACGCATGCAGCCAAGCAACCTTGATGCAGCCACTACAGTGCGATCTGCAGAGACTGAGTTGCAAAACACAATAGAGCTACGCACAACAGCGTCGGAAATTGCAGCTGCAAAACCGGATCTTGACGCCAAAGCGAAAAAAAGTTTTGAAGCACTCTTTAAAAGGACTTTAAAAGGAAAATTACTAGCGCCAAAATTGAGAAAATCTGCTGACAAATCACTGTCGCAGCCTTGATGCAGCCACTCCAATACTATTTACGAGATCCAGCTGCAAAGGACAATAGTATTACGCGTGCAGCCGCTGCACGAAGCAACCTTGATGCAGCCACTACAATGCGATCTGCAGAGGCTGAGTTGCAAAACACAATAGAACTACGCGCAACGGCGTCGGAAATTGCAGCTCCAAAACCGGATGGATCTTGACGCCAAAGCGAAAAGAAAGATTTTGAAGCACTTTTTAAGAAGACTTTTAGAAGGGAAATTACTAGCGGCAAAATTGAGAAAATCTGCTGACAAACTAATATTGCAGCCTTGATGCAGCCACTCCAATACCATTTACGATGTCCAGCTGCAAAAGAGAATAGTATTACGCATGCAGCCGCGGTGCCAAGCAACCTTGACGCAGCCATTACAAATTGTAATCATCACGTCGCAAACCTGCACGTATCTACGAACGTGGCAACATCAGATGACGACAGTCATGCAGCCATTCCAATGCGATCTGAAACCACAGATTCAAGAAACGCATAGAACTACGCACAGGAACAACCACTCGTTGCAGAACACAAAGGAGGAACCAAAACGACCGCAGCCGCACCGGCCGCACACAGGAGGTACCTTTCATCGCCGCCGGCAGCCACTTCACATGGAAAAACACAAGGTTTCGTGCTCCGGCTTCCTCCCCAAAACAAAGCCCATGCAACATTCATGCAGCCATTACAATGCGTTTCGCAGCATTCCCTTCACCACCACTTACCTTCGTCACCACTTCCCTTCCTCACCACTTCCGTTCCTCACCACTTCCCAAAGTCACCACTTCCCTTCGTCACCACCCTGTGTCATAGCCTATTCTTTTGTGATGTATTGTTATGTCGTGTAAAGTCGCACACCACCCTTCATCAAGGTCAATTCTTTTCTGATGTATTGTTATGTCGTGTAAAGTCTCACACCACCCTTCATCAAGGTCAATTCTTTTCTGATGTATTGTTATGTAGTGTAAAGTCGCACACCACCCTTCATCAGGTAAAAATCATCCGTAACTCGGAAGTATTGCTTCCCAATTTCCTTTGATTATTAGAAACTCATCTCATATTATGAATTATGATCCTGTTGCAAAGGGAAACCTGCAACCTTTCTCCCACTGATTTGCTAGAAGGCTACCAGATTGCCACTTCGAATTGGACAGTTTCACCCCTGTCATTGGGATTCTTGGGTCATTTAGCTATTAGCTTTGGTGAATCGGCGTGAATCCCGGAAGGGGCGGCTTGGCTTTAGAGGCAAGCGCTTTTTATTCCTGCTCCGAGGCTTTAAATCCCTTCAGAATGAGTCTTGGATCACAACGCCCGCATGATGCGTCTTAAATTTGGGGAAAACGCTGGGAGAGCTTGGCAAAATGACCCTGATCAAATAAATTATGATATGACAAAATGGATCAAAATGGTAGAACATTATATTGGTTTAATAAACTATTTAGTTTGGGGGTCAATACCACTTGAGGCAGCATCAGGGTCAGGCAGTTACCCTGTCAGAAGAGTTGTGTCATTGCGATTATGGTTACCATGTTTACTGCACCGGCATTTTTTTCGTAATTCTGTGGTATCCTGGCATGTTCATACATTTTACTGTATATTTTTTATTGTATTTCCATGATTCCTTGTTTGTGGTTAAATCAGTGATGAATGGGGAGTATATCATGATTATTATGACCTGAGTATTCCATTAGAAGTTGAAAACCAACCAAGTTTGTCCCATCCTTTCTGTATGTTTTCCTCTCTACATCCAAGGATTTGGATATCCAAGTGAACAATCTGGCAATCCAAGATCTGTTGAACCCCTGGACGGAGCAACAGTTGACCAACGTTGCCCCACTGGTTCACAGAAGGCCCTCTACCAAGTTCAGGGTCTTGGATTTGTTGCAGCTCAGCAGATTGCAGATAGCCGGAGACTTTTGGAAGATGTGGGAGGCAATCAAGCCAAGCTGGTGAAAATGCATGAACATGCGGATATGATCGGATATGGAGATACATAAAGTATCATAAATTCATAGCAAGAATGGATAAGAGACAATGATAAGACCATGGAGGTCTCAAAAGGTCATGGAACCCCTAAAGCATCCCAAAGCTAAAATTTCTAGTCCCCTTGCTGGTTTTTTTGGTTCAATTCACCTGCAATTTACACAAAGATGGAAAGTAACTGAGCTCCAGTATGTTCTTTCCGACGGAGGGTAAAATTTTATTACACTGTTGGGACAATTCCGCAGAGACTGCGAGGGCCTTGATCACAGCCTTGCGGCCGCAAGTGAGTTAGTTTGAAGCATCCATTTTGGGTTGAGGTTCCCAAGTGATTATCATGTATTATCACTGCTGATTCTTGATGGTTGAATGTATTCTTTCTCTTCCATTCCTGATAGGATGAATGACTATGAATATGAATATTAAATGATGACGATCACATTCATATTCATTCGTCATCATCATATAAATTGTCCTTTTCTTGTGTCCAAGAAATGGACACTTTACATGTGATGATGATGAAAATCCCCTCCTGAAATGGGACCCCGAGGCAGGCAATGCTCAAGGCCGACCGGGGCCAGTCCGTGGGATGAACAGAATGGGTGGTCTAGAACCAGCATGACTCGCAAAAAAATGTTTTTTTTGGTGGAATCATTGTATCATTGTGATTTAAGTGGTTTTAATGGGATTTTCATAAGATTATAGTGATTTAATGGGATATCAATGGGATATACCCTCTGGTAAACCAACATAACTATGGAAAATCACCCTTTTTGATGGGTAGACCAACTAGAAATTGCCATTATCAATAGCTACTTTAGTTTACCAGAGGGTATGTTTTAATATGGGTCTGTTTGAAAATGGGGTATACCATGGGTATAACCTCAAAATGATCAATTTTGATGGTGATAATATATATATAATCATAATTCGTTGGAATTGAAGTTCGAAGATACCTAATTTCAGACAAACCCCTATTAAAAGATATCATCAACAGGATATATACGTGTATATATATATATACATGTATACATATATATGACTATGTTTTGATGATATTAGTTAATTAAGTATATTTTGAAATTATGCAATATTCAAAACCTCGAATTAAATATTTGCAACCCCGATATCAACCATTGGAGACCACCATGACTCCAAGATCCATGGCCACCTTTTCTTTTGCACCCGCCACGCGCGGATTTGCAACCTCAGAATCAATTGCTTTTCAATTAAGAGACTTTTTTTTGATGATTTTGGGGTACCCCCCCCATTTTAATGAATGTCCATATTAGTGTGTATATATATACACACTGTTACACACTGTATATATACTTATATACTGTAACTGTACATAATATATATATATACTGTATATGTACTGTATATATACTGTATTTATACTGTTTATTTATATACGTTGTATGTATATATATATATAGTACAGTACAATGATGTACAATGGTTTTATATGTATATATGCAATATTTGCACAAATGATGTTGCCTAATTATATATATATTCTATTACGTCTATTTGCATACACACACACATATTACACTATCGTACTTTACACTTCATTGATAAGGAGACTGCTGATGAGTACGCTTCAGGAGTTCGGCAAGGCCAGCTTTCAACGCGACATCGGCGAACTGAAGAAAGCAGCCAATTTTAATTCAAGGCGCGGCGTGGGATCCTGGTAGACGGTAATGGCTGTAAGCATTGGATTCTAACCCAGAAGTTGAGAGATAACTCCGATAACTATAACTATAACTATAACTATAACTATAACTATGGTTGTCAGTTATTACCAACTATAGTTGGGTCAGTTATCTAACTTCAACCAAGTTATAGCTATAAATCCTATAACTATGGTTGGCTGTCAGTCTTGGAGATTCTCCATCTTGCGCGGGGTGATGAGGTTGGCTTCTGGAAGGGTTATCACTTTGATGTCACTGGGGTTTGGATGTGTTGGTGCCGCGTTGCAGTCAATTGATGAATCAAGCAGTTGCAGATGGTTCTGCTGTGTTTTTCCCAGCAACTGAAGTCTTTTCATGTCTTCTCCAGTATATATGTTTTGAATGAGTTTTCCTTGCATGTGCCTACTGTATATAAATCTAAACGAATTCTGTTATATCTCTTTCTCTCTCTCTCTCTCATGTATATATATACATACATATATATATATATATACATATATATATATATATACGTATATATATACATATATATATATATACATACATATATATATATATACATATATATATATATACGTATATATATATACATATATATATATATACATACATACTCGTACATATTACATACATACGTATATACATGTATACATATGAGCTGTTTATATGGTTTTCTATTATAGTAGAGATCTTATACGTTTATATGTATAATCATGTTTCCGTTATTGCTCGTATATAAATGCATGCGACTTTCCCATTCACCAGGCGTGTGTTTGACTTCTCGCAAGCCAGCATCAATTTCGAAGATCCAGAGGGATACTTTGAGCTGGAAGGCCGGGTGGAAATTGGGCGCGGTACCTGTGACATCCTGTGACACTCGATTTCTAAATGGTTCTAGACTCGATTCTCAAGGGGAAAATTGAAGCTGATTTGGAGGTACAGTACTTACTGACGCCATGTGAGGTCTATGTACCTCTCAAAAAACATCGGGCCAAAACACGGCCCTTTTTGGCGATGGCATAGTACCAAAACCACACATTTTGTGACCCCAGGTCGAGAGGATTTGGCGCTGATTGCATCTTGGCTTGACCATGAAAACTGTTTGGGTGGTATTAGGCTTACCATGGCTTACACATCCCTACACCATCCTACACCCAAATATGTTGGTTGTTGTCCATATATGTTCATTTACCCCGGGATATTCTGACTTTCCATGACTTTCCATAGTGGATCCAGTCGGATCCAGGGATGATTTTTAAGCCTAAGCCGATGGGGAGCCCTTCAGAGCCCTAGCCACGAGACAAATTGGATCATCTCGGATGGAGACGAGTCCTACCGTTGTTGGTCTGATGGAGGAACTTCCAGCTTGACATAGCCGACATAGCTTCTGTCATTTTGGTGACAGAAGGATACCGGGCTTTGGACCAAGCAAATTTCACTGGGTATCTGGGTATATATGTAGAAAACCAAAAATGGTCGCAAAAGCCTGTGCATTTATCACTGATCATATTGCAAAATCCGTTGAACCAAAATGATCCCAAGACTTAGCGAATCAGCCGGATATGACCCCTGGAACTCAGTGTGATATGGCCATGGAAATGAATTTGGACAGCCACAAGTTTGGTCAGAAAGTAGTAACTGATCCCGACCCAAGTTTCAGAGTGACAATGTTGCTCCGACCTACTGTACAAATGATATGGAGGCTTCCCTAGGGCTACCCCCAAATCATCCATTTAAGAGTAGGATTTTCCATTAACCATCCAGCTATGGGGGTACCATTCCAGGATTTCCCCATATCCACAAGGGGGGAACTAGTGATTTTGCCTCCAACGAGTCCTGATTTTGCCATTTGGATCATTTGTTGGGTTTACCAACCTTATGGAATAAATTATAGCCTATTATAGCCCTTGAAATTTCAATTCTTTAGTTCCCCAACATTTGGCTTTGTCTGAAACTATGGTAGCCATTGCTAACCCCAAAGTTTGCTGATCAATTATTCTCCCCACAAAAATATCTTTGTCAAGGTCTCCTCACCTTGATCCATGTACTCCTTGGGACAACTCCACGTTTGATGCCTCTGTTTTCCAAACATGTTTTCCCTTGGCATTTGGGACCTTTGGGACCCTGGATCCGAAGGTGCAGCAGGCCATTTTACCTGGCTTTGGCTTTGAAGCCTCGAAGGAAGGCGTCAAGGAGTGCGTCAAGCTACATGGATGGCCATTGGCCCGGTTATAGGGCTTCTTTACTGTTCTTGAATATGGACCCGTTGAAAGGAAGCCCCTTTCATGATGGCATGACCATATCCCGCGTACCGTGGTTTGACCATGGCACAAATTGGATTTCACCAACAAAATTAGGAAACCCCAAGCACGATCGGAGAGATATACGGTGAATAGACCTCCACTTCATGTCAAGTTTAAGTTTTAATACTAATTCAATGAAACACAATGGGGTATTCATGACCCCAAAGACCATTATCGATGGGTTGGGTTTACTCCCATTGTGACCACAATGACCATGATAGCAAGAATAGCATATGGCTTTAAACCAGCCAGTCTATGAACTTGGTTCATGGATGTGCATGGGATACAGGCAACAACACGATATGGCTGATTTTAAGTGGGAGAATGATGATCAATCAGCGTTTTTTTGGGGGGGGAGTTCAAAATATGAGACAAATCCAGATGAATCAGTTTTGAGCTACTAAAGGGTCAATCAAGTGGTGAATGCTTGAGCCATTTTGATGGAGGCATATTCCATATCCGACCCTATAGTTGTTGTTTTATGCTGTTTTCTCCCTTATTTGCTGTCAGAATTGTCCCAGCTCCTTCTGAGACAATTGATAAGGTTGGCTAGACGAAACGGAGAAACGTTGTTTTTTTGGGGTGATGGGCTACTTTCCCTGTTGATCCGGGAATATCTCATACGCCAATATGTAAAAGAATATATGATATATAGTTACATAATATGTAGGTAGGTATATAATTATCGGGATAGTCTGGTTAAGAGCCCCCAATGAGAGCTGTCCATTCCACAGCAGTTGAACACGAACGTTATTCGGGGTGCGTGTGAAACGTGCACAACTTCTGTGAAACGTGCACAATTTCTGTGAAACTTGCACAACTTCTTGCAAATGTGGATGACTTCTATGCTTTCGATGACAAGTTCTCAAACACTGCAAAGAGCTCTTAATCAGACTATACCCATAATTCATTACTTAATCAGACTATACCCATAATTATATGTATATGCTATGTACATGTATATGTATGTATA